TGATGGCCACCTCTGCCAGTTCACCAGTCACTGCTCGTGGAACCAACAGTGGATCTCCTCTGGCCCCTCTACGAGTCGACTGGCGGGTGAGTTCCTGTCGCGGGCAGGAGGGGAAAGGTAAGGCTCCAGGCTGCAGTGTGCACCTTTGGGAGTCCAGATCCATCTTACTCCCTGTGCCCCCTGTCTAGGTACAAGGCGGCGATTTGCAAGAAAAAATAACAGATGGCTGGGAAACAGGTTCCAGCCTCTTCAGCTTCTAGCTCAAACCTCCTGAGCAGCCCAGACCCAGCTTTGAACACCTCATTTCCCCCAGCTTCCAGCAGCCCTTGAGGTGTCTGCCAGTAGTCATAGTAACGGCAAATGACGGCAGAGAACACACAACACAGAGCAAGATACATCATCCCACGGCATGGAAAGGTCGTGAAGAAAGCCTCCAGCGACGTAACCGCTTGTGGTATCCACCATAATCTTTTGCTCACCTTCAGCACAGCAAGACACCATTTTTCTTTGGATCTGCCTTAGAATAAGCCGCACCCGAACCACTGCCCTCCTTGCCCCCGAGGGCAGCTGAGTGTGCAGGCCCATTACCTGCTGATGGGATGCGAAGTCTCCCCGGATGTCCCAGGGCGCCTTCGCCGAGTCGGTAGTCACATGGCCTTGAGCACCATCATGTGCCTTCCCAGAACGCAGCGAGAGAGGCATCGGAGATAAGTGGAGACACAAGGGCTCCAGCTCAACCAGGGCGCTTCCTTTGTTGGGGGAGACACCCCTGCAAGCCTCAGCCCCTGCCCCCCATACCATGCACTACCGCGGAGCTCATGGGTAGCTGATGAGGCTGGGTAGAAGGCTTCTCTTCAGGCTCCTGGTAGTGCTCAGAAGACACTCTCAGGCGCCTGGTGGTACAGGGAGATGGTAATGAGAACCCCCAGAGAGTAAAACTCTGCACTGCGGCAGGTGGCTGGACTGGTGCCCTGACCTCAGAGCACCTGAAGATAACACCTACTGATTCCCAGCCCAGAACAGAATGCCTCCTCACCCGTCCACTGCCAAACCCAGACATTCTGAAATCCCCTCAGGGACACCGCCAGCCATAAGCCCTGGTACCTGCAGCATCTTCATCCCCACCAGTGAAGCGCCCGCCGCTCAAGCGCTGGAGGACAACATCCCCATACCAGCCGCCGCTGCACCCCATCTGCTTCACCGCCACCAAGTGCCGCTCCCGGTCCAAGTGGGCCTCCTTTAAAGAGGAGGGATCAGCTGTGCTGCCCGCACGTCGATGTCTCCCTGACCTGATTCCTCTGCCAGGGCCAGTCAGCACCGGCTTCAGGGTGCTGCCTACGCAGGCAGCTCTGCAAGAGACAAGCATGGGTACCCAGAGCCCAGAAACGACCCCCCGGCCCACCGCTGTCAAGGATACAAGCCAGAATTCCAGGGTCTTCTAGCCTGCGAGGGGCACTTTGCTCAAGCAGTAGCAGAGGCTGCCCAAGTGGAGCCAGCTTCCCTATAAACATCTTAGTCTGGGCCAGGAGCCAAGCCCCGCGCAGTGACTGCGGGACCTGGAGACCTACAGCAACTCTGGCCGATTCTTGACTACTTTCCCTCTGTGTATGGCAGCAGAGCACACTCTGACCCAGACCACCCTCTGGATTGAGGTGAAGGCTATGGCAGAGACCCAGGAAGTGAACTTCTTCTACCAGGTGGCCATGGACACGAGGACTAATAGGGGCGCTGAAATGTAGAAGCAGGGAGAGGTTTCTTTGCAGCCAGCAGACTTCAGGAGGCCTTCTCTCTCAACCCTGCCGGTGGAACTCTGCTGCGGGGTTCCAATGCCAGATGCTTCCAGACCCGAGGTCTCGCACGAGCTTTGCTCCCCCAGCCTGTCTCCTCTGGAGTGGCACTGCCGGGAGCAGGAGACAGCCAACCTCCTACAGCCCAAGCCCTTCCCAGAGTGATGCTGACCCCTAGCATAGGTCCAAAGGTCAAAGCCTTTGAAAAGCCCAAGACCCGGAGTCCCAGCAAAAGAGGTGGACAAACCAAAGAGAAATGCCAGTTTAGGGTCTGTCAGCTTGCATTCCGCTTCACCCCGGTGAGGAAAATTAACCAAGCTAGGCTGAGTAAGCAGCACTGGGTGCCCACCACGGCCTCAGACTGGGGCCCATGTGAGAACCGTGCGAGGCGGCGCGCGCGAAGACGGCGAGCGAGCCGGCGAGCGCGTGCGCGCGCGGAGGGCGGCGCGAGAGAGCGCGACTAGCGAGCCTGGAGAAAACAGTAAGGATGCGGGTCTAGAAGCACCCCGTGAGTTCAGCAGGCGGCAGGCCGACGCGGCTAGTGTCCCCACTCTGCCACCGCGGAGACGCCCAGCCAAGCGGCCTGAGGCGCCGAGGAGAGCGCTGCGCAGGCCCGGCCGAGAGCGGTCGATGCACCGCGTGGTCCTGGCCTGCCAGCTTTGATTCAATGCCCAGGCGCCGCGCGCCGCCGACCGAGGACGCGGGAGAGGACAGCACCCGCCAGCGGAGAGAGAGGCGAGGACGGGAGAGCGCCACGCGATCCTTCAGATCTTGGGGACCCCACCCCCGCCTGCCGCGCACGTGCGCGAACAAAGCGAGCGGCGGCGCCGCGCTCCCGGTCGTCCGCCCGACTCACGACGCAGGTGCCGCGAGCAGCAGCCTGGGCGCGGACAGCGCAGCCACCAGCGCGCGACCAACGAAGAGCCGCCCATGACGCGGGCGGAGGAGCGCCGGCCGGACGGGAGGCGGCCAGCCCCAGGCCGTCTCCCGCCCCGCCCGCCCGCCCAGCCCACGGAATCTGCCCGCTCGGCCGCCCAGACACCGCAGACCCGCCCCCTGCCCTGCCGTCCCCATGGCTACAGCCCTTCCCAGGTCGCCCTTGCAGCATTGCTGACCCACGCTCCAGGCGCGCCCACCTGCAGAGCCGGGGCACTGACGGTCGGAGTTTGTTTTTTTTTTCTAGAACATGTCTGCCAGGCTGGAGGCAGATGTCATACAGCTCATGCAATCCATTCTGACAACCCTGCTCCCCATCCTCCGGCAGCTGGCTACAGGCGGCACCACCACGCCTATTAATTGTCTATAGGATATAATTGTATTTATGCTCCGCGCTTGCTCTGCTGTCTCGAACCTGAGCTCAAAGTGATCCTCCTGCCTTGGCCTCCCAGTAGTGCTGGATATAGCCTAGCCACCTCGATGCTGGGAATTAAGTCGATCTTTGGAAATAAGAGAAAAACAAAATATAATCATAACTGGCATCAGCTTGGATTATATTAGTCTTTAACCAACGCATCGTTAGATATCAGCAAGTAATATCTTAGGAGAAGGTCCACCCAAATGGCCAATGCTGCCCTGTTAGCAGGAGTGTCAAAGCAGAGTTCCAGAACCACATCCTCCCCTGACCTGGTCCCTTTTTATTATTTTATTTATGTATGATTTATTGTTTGAGCGAGTTTCACTCTGTCCCTGACGTCAGCCGTAGCTGCACGCAACCTCAAACTCCTGGCTCAGCCATGCGATCCCCTGCCCAGTCTGCGCCTCCTGAGTAGGCTGGGACACCGCATGCCATCCACCCACGCCCAGCTAATTTTGTCGCATATAATGTAGTTTGCAGCCAATTCTTTCTATTTTTAGTGACATCAGGGGTCTCCCTCTCCTTAGGCTGGTTCAAAGCGTCCTGAGCTGCAAGAGATGCGCCGCCATCGTTCCAGAGTGCAGCAACTGGCTCGTTGGAATGACAACCGTCCCTAAGAGGAAGGCACAGAGGGAGCCCACTGTCACAGGCAAGTAGCCCCGCGGTATCAACCTCCCTTAGTCTGAATTGACATGGAAAACGCCACCTTATTGCCTATGGCCTCAGATCGACTCGGAATGTGAGACAAGCTCTGCTCATAGATCAGGCTTGACTTGCAAGAACAGCAAGGAGAGGTACAATATGTAGGTAGATGCCAAACCGATGCGTCACCTTTGAAATATGGTAATCTCGGGTGGGGCGGGGGAATGGTCATTTATGAAACCTAAATCTTATTACCCCCATAACATGCAGGAATAAATAAACATTTAAAAAATAGAATATAAAAAGAATGTAACTCCTGTAGCTGCTTAATGAGTATTAAAGAACGATATATTTCTGTTGTCATTGTGAATGTAATGTTCTTAATTGCATTTTTTTTCTGAGACAGATCCCTTCTCCTAGGTAGAGTGAGCCAGCTCATAGAACCCTCAACTCCTGGCTCAAGCGATCCCCTGCCTCAGCGTCCCAGTAGCTGGCGACTACTGGGCACAAGCCACCTCATGCCCGGCTGATTTTAGCCGTATATAAGCTATATAATTAGTGCCAATAATTTCTTCTATTTTATGGTACGAGACGGTTGTGCCTCAGCTGGTCTTTGACTCCTGACCTTGAGCAAATGCCGCCCCTGCCTCCCAGATGCTAGGATTACCAGGCGGACCACGCCCGCTCCTTAATTCATTTTTCCTAGCACTGGGGCCATTAAAACAATTGTATTCTTATAGTAATCTTGTAACTTCCAACCTTGCAGAATTCATTTATTAGTTATAATAGGTTTTTTTGCTGAATTTCTTGGGATTTTCTACATATGAATCTGTCTATGGATATGGATGGTATTTTTACCTCTTCCTTTCCACTCTGGATGCCTTTTATTTCATTTTCTTGTCTAATTTCTCTGCGAAAATCTTCCTACAATGTGAAATAAAACAATGAAAAAGAATTGGCGTTTCTTCCATGGCTCAGTTGAGGTGATATGTAAGAGCCTTCTCGTCACAACAAGCCCTGACCCCAGCTCTAAGGCCCCAGGAGGCCCCAAGACCAGAGCCATAAAACCTCCATTGGCCTCTAGGAGACCCGAGTCCAGCCTCCCCCCTGGGCCAATACCTAACTCCTGAGACCCTCTAGGAGGCACCTGGACTCTGCTGGGCAGGCGGGGCACGTCCACGCCCCACGCCCTAGAGGAGCTCCAGAGCAGTGCTCACCTCATGAAAATCTCAGCAATCCGGAACCCAATCCCAGAGCCACCGCCTGTGATAAACGCCACTTTGTCCCTGAGAGCAGAAAAAAGGAGGCTCTTTTAGAAGATCGCTGTCAACGGAGGGGGACAGGCGGGTGGCCACGGACGGCGCTGACCCTCTCAACCGGGCGCTTCCGCTCGGTCTGAATTGTTGAGAAGGAACGTGCGCGACTTTTACAGGAAGAAAAGAAGAAACTGCTTTTCAAAACCTGGTATTTCTGGGCTTTCTGGGTCTTCAGGAAAAGTGACTTCGACCTACAACTCTGCTCAGAAGGTGACCAGGCGAGACCCGCTTTCGAGCACCCGAGCCGTCGCCAGCCCACTCCACCGCGGCGGGACAGGCGGGCGCTCACCGGAGCAGGTCGGGGCAGAAGAGGTGGCGGTACTCGGGCAGGCAGGCGTCGTCCTCCACGTCCGGCGGCGGCTGCGCCATGGCACCCTGCACGGCGGGAGCAGCGAGGACTGCGGGACCCGGCCGGTGAACTGCCCCGACCGCTCTTCCTGGACAAGCCCCGCCCCCGCGCACAGCATGCTGGGACTCGTAGTCCCCGCGCACGGCATGCTGGGACTCGAGGTCGGTCCGGGCCGCGCGCGCGCAGCGGGCGCAGGCGCAGTGCGGTGCGGGCGCTGGATGGTGCCTTCCTCGCGGGCTTCACCCGTCCTGGGCGTCCGCGCCGTGGTCGGAGCCTGCCGGCTGCATCGGACGCTCCCCGTTCCCGCTATGAGGCCGGGCTCGCGCGGCGGCCCGGGGCTTCTCGGACTCCACCGCCGCCGCGGGCCCAGCCGTGCTCCTCGAACACCGAGTTGGGGAGTTTGGGCCCTTCGCCCCCGCACCTCACCCTTCCCTGTTGCACAAATTCGGCGAAGGAAGAGGGAAGGGAAACTAACGCCAAACTAACGCCGGGAAAGCAGAGGAAAAGGACGAGAGCATTTCCCTCGCGTGCGTTCCTTCGGGCCAGTTCCCTGCATGACCGGTTTGGTGACCAATAAAGGGCGGCTGGCACTTCATCCGTGCCCCACGTGGCTAACCAGGCAGTGGCCGATGCCCTGAACCCGGGACGCGGGCAACCGTCACCAACACGTCAGAAAGTAGACTAAGTGACGCCCAAGTTGGCTTCAGCAGGTGAAATGTTAGGCGGGGTCTGCTACCTGTGCTGAGGGCCCGAGGACACACCTGTAGCAGCGAGCACTGACTTCCGGACCCAGGGGTGGGGTGTTATGTGTGGCATCAACGTGGCAACAACTGGATATTTGGCAGCTCCCTCCGGCTTTGGGCGACAAAGTGGGGGAGGTCTGTGGTCACCAGACTCATTCTGCCCTGGGGGCTCTCAGCCCCTTCCTACCCCTTCCTGCCCACTCCAGCTGCAGCCTCCTACCCGCTCAGGGAAGGCTGCTCCTCCTGGCACAGCACCAACCCTGGGGCTCAGCCTGTATTCCCCCAGGTCTCAGGCTGGAGGTCTCTGGACCCTTGTCTGGCTCATACATTCCACAAAGTTATGGATCCCTTCCTGAGTGTGCAAGACAGTAAGCTTCATTTTTATTATTTATTTTTGCTTTGAGTCAGAGTCTCTGTTACCCTGGCTGGAGTGCAGTGGCATGATCATAGCTCCTTGCATCCTCAAATTCCTAGGCTAAGCCAGCCTCCCGCCTCAGCATCCCCAGTAGCTGGGACTACGGGCACATGCCACCACATCAAGCTAGTTTTTCTTACTTTTTTTTTTTTTTTTTTGTAGAGATGGGGTCCTGCTGTGTTGCCAGGCTGGTCTCAAACTCCTGGGCTCAAGTGATCCTCCCGCTTCAGCATCCCAAAGTGCTGGGATTACAGGCATAGGCCACTGTGCCTGGCCACCTTCATTTTTAAACTGCTTACTACTTGCATAAAAGTGTCATTCCTACCTCAGAGATGGCAGAAGTCATTATGACTTCATAATGAGTGCACCACCCCCATGTCCAGCACAGTGAATTTTAATATCTCCGCTTTGGGGGAGAAGCGGTTACAGTACCCACCTTGGAAAACACCCCAAAAGTTGTCTGGCACTTTGGTAGAGAAAAGATTTGGCGCAATCTTATGCTGGTTTGGATACAGAAAGGCACGTGAAGTTAGTGGCTCAAACTCCTCCAGGCTGGGGTGCAGCAGGTGCTCAGGGAAGTGATCTGGGAGACAGGTATGGGCATAGGCGTGAGTTCTTGTTGACCGAGGTAGTTGGTCCTGGTTGGACGCTGGGGTGGCCCAGGGCAGCCTGAGCCCTCAGGCTGGGTACACGCTGCTCTGATGGCCCCCGTCTGCCCAGTTCACCAGCTCACTGCTCTGGAACCACAGTTGGATCTCTCTCTGGGCCCCCTCTACGGAGTCACTGGCGTGGATGATGTTCCTGTGCCAGGTGGCAGGAGGGAAAGGTAAGGCTCAGGCTGCAGTGTGCACCTTGGGGAGTCCCAGGATCCATCTTTTACTCCCCTGTTGCCCCCTGTCTAGGGGTACAAGGCGGGCGATTGTGCAGAGAAGAAAGAATAACAGAGGGCTGGGAAACCAGGTTCCAGCCTGGCTTCAGCTTCTAGCTCACAACCTCCTGCACCAGCCCAGACCCCAGCTTTTGAACACCTCATTTCCCCCAGCTTGTCCCATGCCAGCCCTTAGGGGTGTCTGGCCAGTTAGTCAGGTAACAGGCAATGACGGCAGAGTACACACACAACACAAAGCAAATGCATCATCTCCTCCTAAGTGCAGGAAAGGGTCGTGAAGAAAGCTCCAGCGACGTAAGCTGTGGTATCCCACCATAAGTCTTTTGGCTTCACCTTCAGCACAGCAAGACACCCAGGTCTTGTGGATCTGCCTTAGGAATAAGCCGTCACCCCAAACACTGGCCCTCCTTGCCCCCGAGTGGGCAGCTGAGTGTGTCAGGGCCCCATACCTGCTGATGTGGATGCTGAAGTCTCCCCGGATGGTCCCAGGGGCGGCCTCCGCCGAGTCGGTATGTCCTATCATGGCCCTTGAGGCACGGACCACATTGTACCCTTCCCAGACCTGCAGCGAGAGATTCAGTCTGGAGAGAAGTGGAGAGCACCAAAGGCTCCCAGGCTCAATCCAGAGCGCTTCCTTTTGCTTGGGGGAGGACACCCCTGCAGGCCCTCCACTGCCCCTGCCCGCCATACCATGGCCACTACCGGCCCGGAGCTCATGTAGCTGATGAGGGCTGGGTAGAAGGGCTTTCTCTTCAGGTCCTGGTAGTGCTCAGCAAGGACACTCTCAGGCGCCTGGGTGGTACAGGGAGATGGGTAAGAGAAGCCCCCAGAGAGTAAACTCTGGGCACTGGGCAGGTGGCTGTGGTGCCCTGACCTCAGAGCACCTTGAAGATAACACCTACATGAGTTCCCAGCCACAGAACAGATGCCTCCCTACCCGCTTCCACTGCCAAACCCAGGACATTCCTGAGATATCCCCTCAGGGACACCCGCCAGCCGTGAGCCCTGGTACCTGCAGCATCTTCATCCCCACCAGCTTGAAGCCCCGCCGCTCAAAGCGCTGGATCACATCCCCAACCAGCCGCCGCTGCACCCCATCTGGCTTCACCGCCACCAAGGTCCGCTCCCGGGTCCAAGTGGGCCCTCCTTTAAAAGAGGAGGGATCAGGGCTGCTGCTGCCTCACTCGTCAATGTCTCCCTGACCTGGACTCCTCTGCCAGGGCCCAGTCAGCACCGGGCTTCAGGGTGTCTGCCTCTACGCAGGGCAGCTCTGCAAGAGACAAGCATGGTACCCAGAGCCAGAAAGAGCCCCCCGTGGCACCGCCTGTCAGGGATACCAAGGCAGAATGTCCCAGGGTCTTCTAGCCTGTCGGAGGGGCCACAGCTTTGCTCAGGCAGTAGCAGAGGCTGCCCAAGGTGGAGCCAGCTTCCCCTGATAAGACATCTTAGTCTAGGGGCCAGGGAGCCACAGCCCCGCTCAGTGACTGCTGGAGGCCTGGAGACGCTACACAACTCTGGCCTCGATTTTGACTACTGTCCCTCTGCGTGATGGCACAGACAGTCTGAACCCAGACCACCCTCTGGATTTGAGGTGAAGGCATGGCAGAGACCCAGGTGGAAGTGAACTTCTTCTACCAGGTGGGCCATGGACACAGGGACAATAGGGGCCTGAAGATGGAGAAGGCAGGGAGAGGGTTCTTGTCTGCAGCCAGCAGACTCTAGAGGGCTTCTTCTCTCACACCCTGCCAGGTGGGGAACTCTGCTGCTGGGGGGTTCCAATGCCAGATGCTTCCAGACCCAGGGTCGGCGCTGAGCTTTGCTCTGCCCCAGCCTGTCTCCTCTGGAGGGGCACTGCTGGGGAGCCAGGAGACATGCCAACCTCCTACAGCCCCAGGCCCCTCCCAGAGTGATGCTGACCCTCTAGCATTAGGTCCAAGGTCAAATGCTGCTTTTGAAAAGAGCCCAGACCCTGGATGTCCCAGAAAAAGGGTGGACAGAACCAAAGGAGAAATGGCGAGTTAGGGTCCGGGCAGGCTGCATGTCCGGCCTCACCTCGGGGAGGGAAAATTAACCACAGCTAGTGCTGAGTAGCAGGCACTGGGTGCCCACCACGGGCCTTCAGGACTGAGTGGGGCCCATGAGAGGAACCCCCTGGCTTGATTGCTCCCCCCAAACCCAGTTCAGTCCCTCTTGTATGTAGCCTGGGGGCTCTGCCGCCAGCTGCTCTGTGCCTTGGAAGATGGCAGTCACTTGTCAGGGCCTATGGAAAGAACATTATGATATCTGGCTCTCAGGAAGCACCCTGCGAGTTGGCAGCAGTGGGCCAGGCCGACGCAGGGCCTAGTGTCCCCACTCTGGCCTAACCCGGCGGGAGACGGCCCAGCCACAGCGGCTCCTGGGGAGTGCTCCCCTGCAGGGGAGGAGCCTCTCCAGGAGCCCCCTGCCGAGCTGACCTCCATCACCGCTCCGTCCGGCCTCCAGGCCTTTGGATTTCAAGTGCTCCAGGGCCCTCGGCCCCCCGCCGATCCGAGGCACTCTGGGGAGAAGGACAGCAGGGCCCCGGCCAGGCGGGAGAGGAACTCGGAGACGGGGAGAGCGCCACGCCGAGTCTGCGCCTTCAGACTTGGCTGGACCCCCACCCCCGGCCTGCCCCGCCGCACGTGCGCGAACAAAGGCCGAGCGGCGCGCCCTCCCGCCGGCCTCCCGGGTCGTCCGGCCCGACTCACCCGAGCAGGTGCGCGCGAGCAAGCCAGGGCCTGGGGCGCGCAGGCCACAGCGCAGCCCCACCAGCGCGGCGACCCCGAAGAGGCCGCCCATGACGCGGGGCGGAGGGGAGCGCGGCCCGGAGCCGGGACGGGAGGGCGGTGCCAGGCCCCAGGCCCGTCCTCCGGCCCCGGCCCCGCCCCGGCCCCCAGCCCTCCACGGATCTGCCCGCTCGGCCCGGCCCCCAACCAGCCGCAGACCCGCCCCCTGGCCCTGGCCTGTCCCCATGGCTACAGCCCTTCTCCGGGTCTGCCCCTGCAGCATTGCTGACCCACGCTCCAGGCGCGCCGCACCTGCAGAGCCCGGGGCTCACTGGCACGTGGGAGTGTTGTTGTTTTTTTTCTGAGACAAGGTCCTGCCCAGGCTGGAGTGCAGCGATGTCATTACAGCTCATTGCAACTTCCCACTTCTGGCCTCAAGCAACCTCCTGCCTCCGCCTCCTCCGGAGCAGCTGGGACTACAGGTGGGCACCACCACGCCCAGATAATTTTTCTATTTTTAGGATATAATTTTTGCTATTTTATGGGCTCTCGCGCTTGCTCTGGCTGGTCTCGAACTCCTGAGCTCAAGTGATCCTCCTGCCTTGGCCTCCCAGAGTGCTAGGATTATAGGCGCTAGCCACCGCTCATGGCTGGGGGAATGTTTAATGTCGATTTCTGTTGAAATAAGAAGAAAAAACAAAATATAATCATAATGCATCCAGCTTGGATTATATTAGTCTTTATACCAACGCATCGTTAGATATCTTTCAAAATATTTTTAGTGGGGGAAGGTCCACCCAAATCCTAATGCTGCCCTGTTAGCAGGAGGGTCAGCCAGAGTTTCCAGAACCACATCCTTCTCCTGGACCTGGGTCCCTTTTTTTTATTATTTTATTTTTATTTATTTATTTATTTGTTTGAGACGGAGTTTCACTCTATTGCCTGGGCATCAGCCTAGCTCACAGCAACCTCAAACTCCTGGGCTCAGGCCAGGCGATCCTCCTGCCTCAGCCTCCTGAGTAGCTGGGACCACCGGCATGCACCACCACGCCCAGCTAATTTTGTCCATATATTTTTAGTTGTCCAGCCAATTTCTTTCTATTTTTTTAGTAGAGACAGGGTCTCCCTCTTCCTCAGGCTGGTCTCAAACTCCTGAGCTCAAATGATCCGCCCCCCTCGGCCTCCCAGAGTGCCAGGCCAGACCTGGGCTCCGTTGGAGATGACACCGTCCCTAAGAGGAAGGCACTAGAGGGAGCCCGACTGTCACAGGCAAGGTTAGCCCCGGGTTTATCAACCTCCCCTTAGTCTGTGAATTTGAATGGGGAAAACCCCACCTTTATTGCCTACTGGCCTCAGATGTGACTGTGAATGTGAGGGACAAGCTCTGCTCATAGATTCAGGCTGTGACTTTTGCACGAACAGCAATCACAGGTACAATAGTGTTAGTGTAGATGCCAAGACATGCTATTGTTTGAAATAGGTAATCTCGGGGGGCGGGGGGAATGGGCATTTATTGAAACCTTAAAATCTATACCCCCATAATATGCCAGGGAATAAAAAGAACATTTAAAAAATAAAAAAATAAAAAGAAATAGGTAATCTCCTGCTAGGTCTTTCTTAATGAGTATTTAGAAAACCATATATTGTTTTTTTTGTCAGTGTGAATGTAATTGTTTTCTTAATTTCATTTTTTTTTTTTTGAGACAGAGTCTCGCTTATGTTGCCCAGGCTAGAGTGAGTGCCATGGCTGAGCTGCCTCAGCCTCCTGAGTAGCTGGGACTACAGGCATGCGCCACCATGCCCGGCTAATTTTTTCTATATATATATTAGTTGGCCAATTAATTTCTTTCTATTTTTATGGTAGAGACGGGGTCTCGCTCAGGCTGGTTTTGAACTCCTGACCTTAAGCAATCCACCCGCCTGGGCCTCCCAGAGTGCTAGGATTACAGGCGTGAGCCACCCGCCCAGCCAGCTTGGAATGTTTTAACCTAAGGAGCTGTTTGTCAGAGATCAGAGATAAGCCATATATTTGTGGTGTGAATTGAGGACCTGCAGGTTTGTCTTGCATACCCTTAGGTCTGTTAATGGGTTACAAAGGATGTCTCCAAGAAGGGAGGGAGGCATGATGAGGCATGTCGGACCTCCTGGAGGCAGGCAATTTAGTTTTAGGATATTCCTTTGGCCACAAGGGGGTCCATTCAGTCAGCAGGTGGGGAGGATTGAGCTAATCCCCGCATGTTGAGAGGCCAAGATGGGAGGATCACTTGAGCCCAGGAGTTCAAGACCAGCTTGGTTAACATAGTGAAACCCCGTCTCTTATTTAAAAAATAAAATTGAGAAGCTAGGTGTAGTGGTGTGTGCCTGTATTTCCAGCTACTTGGGAGGCTGAGGCAGGAGATCATTTGAGCCCTGGAGTTTGAGGTTACGGTGAGCTGTGATGACTCCACTGCACATCAGCCTGGATGACAGAGACTCTGTCTAAAAAAAAAAAAATCAGAGCATATCTATATCATCATTTATTCACCCATTCCCCTCACAGAGCTCCCAGGTTTTTGCAACCATCAATGATTCCGCTGCACTCTTGTGTGTTGCATTACATTTTAATATTGCCACATTAATTTTCAAAAGGGTGAGGTGGCTCACGTTCCTGCCAGCGAAGTGTGAGCTGCCTGTTGCCTGAGAGGGCTGTGTGAGGCAACAGACCTAAGGGTCTGTTGCGAGCTGTGCGAGCTGCATTTTGACCAGGTGGCTGGTTTCAGTGTGTCCCCTGACCCCCAGCGTGCTTGAGCAGTACTTGAGCAGCGTTTCGTGTTGCAGAGTCCTTCCCACTGCTAACGCTCAGCTACTCAGCAGAGTCCGGGGCTTCTTGTTCACCTGCAAGTTCACCAGCCTTCCAATGCAACACAGGGTGAGACTGCTGCCTCCCTTCCTCCCCGTGGGGAACTTGGGCACAGGAGCCTCACTAAGGTGACACACTCAGGGGAGGGCTGTGGGGTGGCAGTGTGTGTGTGGGGGGGTCTGAGCCCAGCTGGAGCAGGGAGGGAGTGGACCTGGATGGAACAGTCCCAGTGCTGCTGACCACAGCTGCTGTCCTCGCGTGACTCGGAGCCAGCTCAGTGGGGGCTGTGCGTCGGCACAGTAAAATCACCACTCAGCAAAATCCAGAATCTGACCTCTGTCCCTTTAAATTGAGAACCACCTGGGAGCCCCCTGCAGCCAGGATTGAGGGGGCCCAGCCCAGATTCCAGGGGAACAAAGGATCTCTTGATGGCTTTGTACCCAGGGCTTCCTTCCTCCCTGGCCAACACCCTCCACCTCCCCTTCTCTGGCCTTCTGTGGCCTTGGGTTTTCTAGGTCAGCTTCCTCTCCCCCACCCCAGACCCTCACTGCCCACCACCAAACACAGTTCGAAAGGCACAAACTGGTATAGCTGACACCACCACCACCACCCTCCCCGGCACCAGGCCCCCTCCCCCAGGGTCAGCCAGAGTAGCTGCTGCTGGATCCTTCCAGGGCTACTCTGTGCCTTTGATACACACAAATGAAATGTCTTTTTCTCCTTTTTCTACAAAAACAGCAGCTTTCTGAGCACACTGTCCTGCCCGTTCCTTTTTTTTTTTTTTTTTTTTTACCAGCTAGTGCTGTATCTGGTAGACCCGTTTCCAACCGGTGCAAAGCGCTCCCCATTTCCCCTTTTGCAGCCACACTGGAGTGCGGTGTTTGAGCTGTGGGCGAACACGTAGGCTCTGAACGCCCATGGGCTAATGCCCAACGTGTAGGCGTGTGCTGCGCTGAACACCCGTGGACACGTGCAGCCGCACAGGCTGTGAACAGGGCTGCGGGGACAACGCGAGCGGAATGACTGCATCCCAGGCGCTGTGCTCTACTTTGGTGGAGTCCGGAGGCTCCCCCGCGGCTCCCCCTGACGCTGACCAGCTACACTGAAGCGAGTCTCTTTGCCAAAACCTCACCCCTTTGGAGTGGTCAAACTTTTAGATCTTTGCCGATTAATTAGGTGAAACAAAAAAAGTCATTTCAGTGCCTCTTAATTTGCATTTCCCTTCCGAGCGGGATTGATGCCTGTCCCCGTGTCATTTGCATTTCCTTTTCTGGAACCCAGTTGGCGAGGGATCCTCTGGTCATTTCCGGGTGGGATTATGGATTTGTAGCTCTTTGGTATTAATATTATTAAGATTAGCCCTTCCTGGCGTGAGTTGCCAGCACATCCCCCATCCCCGTTTATGGCTCGTTTCTTGAACTTCACTTAAGCAGTTTTTCTCTGCAGAAAACTTTTTCCTTTCCCATATTAAATTTCTCAGTCTTACCTCCGACGTCTAGTGCTATACTCAGAAAAGCCTCCTCCCCCAGGCTCTGACAAAGTCCCCCCCCCCAAAGTTTTCTTCTAGCGTCTAGCGCTTTTAGGGTTTCCTTTTTTATGCTTATCTTTAATCTGCTTGGAATCCATTCCAGCGCGAAGTGTGAGGAGTTAATCCCGCCACCTTTATCGCATACTAAAACCGCATACAAGGAGCTATTTCACGTTTCCATAAAAGTGTGTCTTTACACATACTCGTAGCAGCTTTTTGGTGCGAAGGCCTGGGGGTCCCGACCTGGGGATTCCGGCTCGGCCAGGCGGCCAGCTCAGGCCCGCGCGTGCGGTGGGGCGAGCCCCTGCGCCCCGGCCAGAGACCAGCGCACCCCCGCAGCCCCTGGGAGCTCGCCCCGGCCTCGTCGCCGCGCACGCGGCCCGCAGCGTGGCTCACAGTTCAGTGAACCCCCCCGACCGTGGGGGTCGAGCGCCTCCAGGATGAAGTTTGGGGTGCTCTGTCACCTCCCACCTCCTGGCATCTCCTGCGCGTTCCAATTCAAGCCCCGCGCGACCCCTCCGTCCCGTGCCCCTACGGGCAGCCCTGAGTCGCAGGTGACTCCTCCGTCCTGCGTGACTTCTCCGCTGCCCGAGCCCCCCATGCACCCTACGTGACCCGGCATCCTCTCCTGCCCGGTGTCGCCCAACGCTGCGCGCCAGGTCGCCGGTCCGCGTTCCCTACCTATCGCCTCTTCCCTCCCACCCTCTTCCCTCGCGCCCCTGGTGCTCGCGTCCTCACAGCGCCCGCGCCCCTCGGACCCGGCTCCCCGCGCCCTCCCCACCCGCGCCCTACGCCCCATGCCGCGGCTCCCCACGCGCCCCCACCCGCGCTCCTCGGACCCGGCTCCCCGCGCGCCCTCCCCACCCGCGCCCCTCGGACCCGGCTCTCCACGCCCCTCCCCATCCCCCTCGTCTGCTCCCCTCCCCAAAACCTCCGGCTGCGCACCCCGACCCCGCTCCCCCAGCCCCACCCCGCCCGCGCCCCCGCGCCCCGGCTCCCCGCGGGGCGGGGCCTCGCAGGCGGAAGTGCCCGGGGCGACGGCAGCGGGGACCAGCCGGGCCATGGGAGCCCCGGGCAGAGACTGCGGCGGCGGCCGCAGAGGCGGCGGTGGCTGCCCGGGTGGCGGCGGGGGCGGGTAGCGCCGGGCCGAGCGGAGCCATGGGCCGGGCTGGGACCGGGACCCGGACTGGGAGCGAGGCGGTAGCCGTGGCGGTGGCGGGGCCACTGCTGCTGCTGCTGCTCGCTCGGCCCCCGCCTGCCGCCGGCGACAGCAGGAAGAGCGGTGAGCGGGCGCTGACGGTCGGGCGCAGTCCGGGGGGGGGGCGCGGGCGGGGGCCTGGGCGCGGCCGCGATTGTGACTCACCTGGGGGCACCTGTGCGCTCACCGGACAGGGGGCGACCGGTGTAGGAGGGCGGGGTGGGAAGGATGGCTGCGCTCCCTCCTCGGTCTTCCATCCGGGTTCGGCCAGATGGGCCCCTGAGCGCTCCCTCCGCTCCCTCCTCCGTGCGCTCCCTGGTGGGACTCGCGGAGAGGCCCGCGTGGAAGGACAGCTGCGCGCGGGGCGCCCGGCCCCGGCTGCGCTGGCAGAGCGGCAGAGCCGGGGAAAGTTCCTCAGGCTCTGAAGTAGGGCCCTGGGCATCGTTCCCCCGTCCCGGTGACCACCACACAAGCGCGTTCACTTCCAGCAGCTGGCCCAGCTTCTAGGAGGCCGCGCTCCAGCTGGCCCCCAGCAGCCAGTGACCCAGTGGATCTAAGGAAAAGAGCATCTCCCTTTTTCGGGAACTTGTTGGGCTCCCTTTGCATGTCTGCTCCCGGAGGGTCCCCATCCTGAATGAGGTCCAGGGAGGTGGCTAGACCAGGGGGAGGGACTGAGGCCGGGACAGCCAGGCCGACACTCCCAGGGGTCCAGTGTTCCGGCTGGCTGGCTGGGAGGGTCCGTGTGCCCCTGGCCACTCAGGTGCCCCACCCCCGGGCAGTAGGCAGTTTTCCAGTGCTGCCTGGGGCTGGCTCCCGGCCCCTCCCTCCCTTCTCTGAAATATTGCTCCTCCAAGCTCCAATTTCTTTTGAGGGCTGTGCCTTCTGGTTTCTGAGCTTGGCACAGGGTGCAGCTTGAAGCAAAAGGCAGTTTTCCCCGAGGATCGTGCTGCTGATTAAACTGACCCATTGGATACTGTCCCCCTTTCCTGCATTCCAGGGGTCTGGCCTGGGCGAGGGGTCACAGTGGGGTGGTATGTGGAGGTGGAACACTTGGGTGGGGGGAACATGAGGGCCTGGGGAACCTGGCTCAGCCCCTCACCTCCCTTTAGGCCTGCTGAGGGGCAGGCAGCTCTGTGGCCCTGGCTTCTGGGTTGTGTGTGTGGGCAGGGTCCTGACCTGCAGGATAAGGGCAGAGTACCTTCACTTGGGTTCCCAGGACAGGCTCAGGGACCTTCCCCTCTTCCCTGCCCAGCCCCGTGTCCCTGGAGGGGCCACGGGGCAGGGCAGCGGTGTGGGTCACCAGCCCTCTTCACCCCTCCTGAGTCAGCCCACATCTGGCTCAGCCCACCATGCTAACAGCCTGGTTCACCAAGATAATAGTGTGGGCATCTTCGGCAGGGTGGTTGGCCCCTGCGGAGAGACCCGGAGGGGCTGTGTGGCTTTGGGAGTTAGGGAGTGGGTGTTACAGCAAGCTTGAGCAGATCTTATCTCTTGTGTACCTGCTGAAACTTCACCAAAGGGTTCCAGGTTCCAGGTGTCCTGGGGCTGGTACTCCAGGACTCAGGGCCCGAGGGCTTTGCCTGTGGCAGGTCGGGGAGCTGCACACTGTTGGGTGACCTCCACTGCCTGCCCCCCTCAGAGGCTGGATGTCCCTCTGGCTGTTTCTCCAGGACACCATGGTCCATGGGGCTGCTCTGCCTCGGCTCACAGGCACTTCAGTTTTCTCCGCCCTGGTCGTCACTCTAGCCTAGGGCCTGCAGCACCACTGGAGAGTCTGCAGCTCCTGGCACTCATGCCACAGCCCAGTGGGTGGGACTTGGTGACCAGCGGACACCTGATACTCCTGATACCTGGAAAGCCTGCAATACATTGTGGGTGGAGCCTGCCCCTGCCCGGCTCCCCAGGCCGGGCTCCTCTGGATGGAGCTTGGACCGGCTTTGCCAGCAGGCTGCTATCTCTTCTCCAGGTGCCTCTACGGGAGGGTCAGGAGGCCGGCAGGAGGGCACGTTGCTCACCTGGCTCCCCACCCCTCTCCTGGAGGGGCTGGGGCTGCAGGGGGGCCTGCTGCCAGGGTGGCAGGAGCCGGCTGCTCTCCCAGTGGGGCAGAGGGACACTGCTGGGTGGACTGGGTGGGGAGCACCCAGCTCAGAGGAGAAGGAGGCCACCCTTTTTATGTCCACAATACGCTGTTTCCTGAAACACTTTGCTGTTCATTAACCTAAGAGGGAGTGGTTGTCCACTTCAGCCTACCCAGAGGAAGTCGGGACCTAGAGAGGGGACGGGATGCCCAAGGTCACACAGGGCCTGCGGCTGAGCTGGGGCTGGGGCTGGGGCTGGAACCGTGGGGAGTCCAGGTCTGGGGTCCAGGGGCAGCGCGTCTCCTGTGGGCTCCTGTTTTGCCCTGCACCGTGGGGCATGGGCAGTGTGCCCTAAGGGTAGTTAGGAGCCTCACCCACTTGGAGCACAGGAGCCAGCTGCCCCTTGTCTCCAGGGCTGGCCAGGCTTCTAGCATGGGGTGCCCTCCCCCACTCAGGGTCCCTTCCTGGGTAAGGGGGACGTTGGGCTCCAGTGTGGCCAAGTCTTCACAGGCTGGAGCAGCGGCTTCTGCACCAGAGCCTCCTCACCTGTCCAGTGGAGTGGCGTGAACAGACACAGGCTACGGGAGGCTGGGGCGGGGGCGGGAGAAGGAGTGTGTCCTGGTGTGGAGCATGGGGCAGACGTGAGGAGGGGCATGGACTCCCTCCTGCCTGACCATCCCCTGTGTCCTTCAGCTGTGACCTTGGCCTGGATCTGCCAGGGCTGGGATGCAGGGGGTGGGGCTCACTGACTGCTGGGCAGGAAAGGGTTGGCCCTGGAGAGTGGGGTCCTTCTAAGCTTGGAGGCAGTGTGGGTGGTGGGTGCTGGGGGGCCGTGAAGCTGTTGCAGTGGCGTGGCAGGCGAAGTTCCGAGGTCTGGTGGGTGGGATGTGGGCATTTGGGACCAGCCCAAGACAACCTCCAGGGGCCGGGGGGGGGGCAGCTTTTCCCACGGTCGAGATTGGCACGTCAGGGGCCCCAGGTCGGTCTGCCCATGGCTCCCTGAGTGGCCTCCCTCATGGCTCCCTCCGGGGGCCTCCGAATGGAGCCCACGTGCTGGAAGCGTCCCTGTCCCTCCCCGTCTGTGCCTGGGAGGAGGAGGGCTCCTGGGCTGGCTGATGGTGCCTTCTCCCTGCAGAGGCTGGGCTGGTGTCCGAGCACTTCTCGCAGGCCCCGCAGAGACTGTCCTTCTACAGCTGGTACGGCAGCGCCCGGCTCTTCCGCTTCCAGGTGCCCCCAGACACCGTGCTGCTGCGCTGGCTGCTGCAAGTGTCCCGGGGCAGCGGCCCCACGTGCTCCGACGTGGAGATCACTGTGTAGGTGGTGGCCCGCCTGCCTGCCCGCCTGCTCCCCCTGGCCATGGCCCCGCCCCTGCCCCTGAACCCCGGCCTGCACTCTTGTCTCCAGGCACTTCCACTATGGGGCCCCCCCAGTCATCAACCCGCTGGGCGCCAGCTTCCGGAACGACACCTGGGTGCGGCCGTCCTTCCAGCTCAGCATGCCCCTGAGCGCCATGCTGCTGAGCAACACCTCCATCAACGTCTCCCACCCGGCGCCTGGGGACTGGTTTGTGGCTGCCCACCTGCCCCCCTCCGCTGAGAAGATCCAGATGAAGGTGAGGGCTGCCCTCCAGGGGTCAGGGGTCAGGGCAGAGCCCTGGGTGTGTGGACAGCCAGGCCCGTTGTTCACTATTTTGTCTTTTTTGTTTTTTGTTCTTTTTTTTGAGACAGAGTCTCGCTTTGTTGCCCAGGCTAGAGTGAGTGCCGTGGCGTCAGCCTAGCTCACAGCAACCTGATTCCTGGGCTCAAGCAATCCTCCTGCCTCAGCTTCCCGGGTGGCTGGGACTACAGGCATGCGCCACCATGCCCGGCTAATTTTTTCCATTTTTAGTTGCTTGGCTAATTTCTTTTTATTTTTAGTAGAGATGGACTCTGGATCTTGCTCAGGCTGGTCTCAAACTCCTGAGCTCAAGCAATCCTCCTGCCTCGGCCTCCCAGAATGCTAGGATTACAGGCGTGAGCCACTGCACCTGTCCCCGTCGCTCACTTTTTGGGGCGGGGCCACCCCACAGGGTCTGACCCCCACACCTTGTCCTCTCTCCAGGGCTTTGTTCCCACCTGTGCCTACATCTTCCAGCCTGACATGCTGGTCACGAGGGTGGTCGAGCTCTCCATCATGGAGCCTGACGTGCCTCACCCGCAGATGCTCCTCTCCCACCCCGGCTACCTCAAGTGAGTGGGCGTGCCCTGCAGCCCGGCCTCCGGGTTTGGCGGAGTGGGGGGCAAGCGGAGCCGGGGCCCTGGGGTCCCGCGCCAAGTGGGTCCAGAGGCTGGGCCCCATTCGCAAGGCCCCCCCACCCCTTGCTGCAGGATCTTCATCCCCGAGTACACGCAGGAGCTGCGGCTGGAGCTGCAGGGCTGTGCGTCCAACGGGAGCCTGGGCTGCCCCGTGCGTCTCACTGTGGGCTCTGCCACCCTGCCCGGCAACTTCCAGAAGGTGCTCACCTGCACCAGCCCCACCTGGCCCTGCCGCCTGCTGCTGCCCTCGCCACCCTGGGACCGGTGGCTGCAAGTGACAGCTGAGAACCTGGCAGGACCCCACGAGGCAGTGGCTTTCAGTGCGGTAGCTGCCCTCACAGGTGGGCTGCAGGGGAGGCCTGGGAGTGGTTCTGCTCCTCCCTGGGCCCAGGCCTTCCTGCGGCTGAGCCCTTGTCCTCTCTCTGGCAGCCTGCAAGCCCTGGCGCATGACCTACCCCCCTGTCCTGCACAGCAGCCAGAACCAGAACCAGAGCCACAGCACCTCCATGGTGCAGCCGTCCCTGGGCCCCAGCTACCGAGACCTGGGCAGGAATGGCAGGTGGGACGGTGGCCCCTTCTGCCTCCTGAGCTACCCAGTCATCCGGGAGGACTTGGACGTGGTGTCTGTGCGCTTCCAGCCCCTGGACAGGGTCAGGGTGACAGTGCGCTCGGACACACCCTCCGTGATGCGGCTCCGCCTCAACACAGGCATGGACAGCGGGGGCTCCCTCACCATTGCCCTGAGGACCAACCAGGTATGGCTGTCCTGGCAGCTGCAGGGCCTGTCTGAGCGCAGCTGCTGGGGGCCTGGGCTCTGACCTGCCGTGGCTTCGTGCGCTCACCTTGACACGGAGGCTGGGTGCCGGCGACCTTTCAGGCAGCACAGGGACACCAGCAGGCGCGGCCAGCTAGGGGCCATCCTCCCTGCAGGACACCCCAGGCTGTGCAGTGGGGGGGATTCGAGGTGGCTCTTGGCAGGGCGTCCACACCTGGGAAGGAAGGGTTCCGGGTGGGCCCTGGGCCAGTGGGAGCCCCAGAGAAAGGCACCAGGCACCAGACTGCCTTTCGGGGGCCAACCCTGCACCGCTTCCCTTGCAGACAAAGATTGGGAACAGCACGTTGGTGGCCTGTGTGAACGCTGCCTCGCCCTTCCTCAGCTTCAACACCTCCCACAACTGCAGCACAGGTGTGATGGGCAGGTGGTGGCGGCAGGGTGCCCGGCCGTCCCCTGCCTGCCTGCCTCTGACGGGCTTCCCGCACCCCCACAGCCTTCTTCCAGGGCTACCGCCTGTCTCTGAGCGCCTCGTCCCACAAGGCCAACCTCATCATCCCCTACCCAGAGACAGAAAACTGGTACCTGTCCCTGCAGCTGCTGTGCCCCGAGAGTCCAGAGTGAGTGACTGGGCCGGGGCGTGGGCAGGCGCCAGGTTGTCACATGCAGGACAGTGTGCGGGGCTGCCCGAGGTGGGGGTCTAGGAGTGGCCCAGCGGAAGGGGCATCTCTCCCAGGCTCTTGCAGGCTGGGGAGCCCCCCACTCTGGGTTCATATGTCTGTCGGGCTTCGGGGCGCACCGGGGGTGGGCTTGCCTGCAGAATGCTACAGCCAGCCCTCGGTGGCCCCTTCCTCAAAGGGACTGTGAGGAGGCCAGGGTCCAGGTTGAGACCACCTTGTACCTCATGCCCTGTCTGGACGACTGTGGACCCTACGGCCAGTGCCTCCTGCTCCGCAGACATGGCTACCTGTATGCGGGATGCAGCTGCAAGGCAGGTGAGGGCAGCATGCCCGGGACACTGCTGCTGTTGGCTCCCCAGCCATATCCCCCGGGGACAGCTCCGCCAGGGGCTGCAGAGAGCAGCCCTACAGGGCCAAGCAGGGGTGGATGCCTGCTCTCCACACCTCCAAGGCCCCCACCTGCAGTTCACCGTCCACTTGGGCGCAGGCACAGCGCAGCGTCCCCAGGGGTGGCCATGCCTCCTCCTTGGCCCCCCCATGCCAGCCGGGCTTGCTCCTGGGTGAGGAAGGGGGTTCTCTGTGGGGCCCTGGGAGCGGGATGGGCCCTGAGGTTGGAGTCCCCCCGGCCTCAGCCCTGGGTGTTGCGTGGCCCCCAGGCTGGCGTGGGTGGAGCTGCACCGACAACAGCACGGCCCAGACCGAGGCGCAGCAGAGGGCCGCCGCACTGCTGCTCACACTCAGCAACCTCATGTTCCTGGCGCCCATCGCCGTCTGCGTGCACCGCTCCCTCCTGGTGGAGGCCTCCGTCTACGCCTACACTATGTTCTTCTCCACGGTAAGCCAGGCCACTCCCACGGGGACCCTGGGGCGAGGAGGCCCGGGCCTGCGCTCACTGTCCCCCCCAACCCCGCAGTTCTACCACGCCTGCGACCAGCCCGGCAAGGCGGTGCTCTGCATCCTCAACTACGACACGCTGCAGTACTGTGACTTCCTGGGCTCTGGGGTGTCCACCTGGGTCACCATCCTCTGCATGGCACGGCTGAAGATGGTCGTCAAATATGTGCGTGGCCTTTGGACCTTGACCATGGGGGGTTGGGCTGTGGGGGGCCAGAGGCCCTGGAGGGCAATGCACGGAGCAGTGGAGGGAGAGGCTGGCGAGGGGCAGTGCCGGCCATTTGGGGGATGCCAGGAAGGAAGGTGGTGGGCAGGGTTAGGCAAGGCCCCAGGCCTTCTCCCAGGGCCCTGTTCTGACAGGCCCCCCTGCAAAGCCCCGGCCGTGCTCCTTGGGGTCCCTGGTGCCAGGGACACGGGACCGTCTGCAGGGGCTGGTCCTGGCTGATGGAGATGAGGGCCCTGGTGCCCGTGAGCTGCACCCTCTGTCCTCACTGGGTCTGCTCTGGGAGCTGCAGTCTGGGTGCTGCCCTGAGGGGCCCGTGGGACCCCCGCGGTCAAGGCACGGGGTGAGAGGGGAGGCTTGGAAGCATCAGAGTCCAGCCAGGCTGAGCGCTGGGGACGTGAACTTGCAGAGAGGTGGAGAACTGCAGGTTGTGGGTTGGAGTGTCTGAGGGAGACGTGGGGTGGCAGTCCCTCCCCTAGAGCAGCAGCGGGGAGGCTGAGGCCACCGTAATGTGAGACCCCTGGAAACCCAGGGGTGCGGGAGGCAGATGAGACTGTGAGCACAGAGCTGTCACATATGCCGGTCCGATTTGTGTAACAGTGTCCTACCTTAGGGAGGGGCACCACCTTCTGGTCCCTGCAAGAGGTGCCTGCCTGGCCATGTCGGTGCCCCAGAAGTGCCAAGGCCACATCTACCTGTGGGTGCAACACAGCAGCTGGAGAAGGAGACAGACCCCCTCAAAGGGTGCCAGTAGCTCCAAGAGGGGCGGGCAGAGGGCAGTGAGGTGCAGCCTGCCCCGGCTGCCTGTTCCTGCTAGGTCTTGTGCCGTCACAGATGATCTAGCCCAGGGCTCCCACCACCCCGCAGTCATCCCTGTGTCTTGCACAGGTCCTGTTTCTCCTGGGCACGCTGGTCATCGCCATGTCCTTGCAGCTGGACCGCAGGGGCGCCTGGAACATGATGGGGCCCTGCCTCTTTGCCTCCGTGATCATGGTCTCCATGTGGGTAAGGAGCTGGGGCAGGCAGGTGCTCCTGCCGGACCTGGCCTCTCATTCTGACCACGTTCCTGCTCCTGCTCTGGCCACCAAATGCCCCAGGTCTACTAGGGGTTGCCAGCGGCGTCCACAGAGTCCCAGCACCACCGTGTGTCTGGGGCTGGGGCTGAGGACCAGTGGGCTTGTGCCCTCGAGCCCCTTGGAGCAGCTCACCCTCATGGTTCTGCCATCCGTACTGGGTTGGACCTCCCTGTGACCACTGGCCCGGTCCCGGGAGCTGTAGCTGCAGCCCCACCTGTGCTGACCCCCGGCCGGCTGTTTTCTCCAGGTGTACCGCTGTGGGCACCGGCGCCAGTGCTACCCCCGCTCGTGGCAGCGCTGGGCCTTCTACCTCCTGCCCGGCATCTCCATGGCCTCTGTGGGCGTCGCCATCTACACTTACTTGATGACCGCCGACAACTATTACTACACCCACAGCATCTGGCACGTGCTGCTGGCAGGGAGCGCGGCGTTACTGCTGCCGCCGCGGGAGGAGCACACAGAGCCCTGGGCCTGCCCGCAGAGGCTCCCCTGCCACTATCAGATCTGCAGGAACGATCAGGACGAGCTGTACACGGTGACCTGACGCCGGCTCAGGGGCCCTGCTCTCCAATGACCTCTTCAGCCAGCCAGGAGCAGGGTCAAGCGGAGGAGCCCTGTCCAGCCCCTTCTGACCCATGTCCAGCTGAATAAAATTGGCCTGAGCATTCTCCTGCTTCCTCCTCCCCAGGAGAGGCCCACCCCTCACCAGCACTCACGGCTCCCTGTGTCTGCCGGCCGACTGGTCACTGCTGTCTGTGGTCGCCCTGGTACCTGGCTGCCTGGAGGACACAGGTGCCCTGTGCAGAGAGGGGTCTGCTCTGCTGACCTGGGGGCGGTTTGGGACATTGAGAAAGAATCCTCACCGCCCTGTTCCCCTGTGAAGCTGTGATATGAGGCCCACAGGGCTGAGGAGGCCTGAGCCCACCTCCGAGGCTGGCAGCTGTGCCCTCCTGGAGCACTGTGTGCCCTGAATGCCAGCCTGCCTTGGGCAGAGGGATCTCCTGCTGCTGCACTCACCCTGGGGAGAGGCCAAAGTCCCCAGAGAGCCGGCGGGCACTGCCTGCCCTTTCTTTCACTCTAGCTTTGGAGCCTCAGGCCCAGGAGCAGAGCCTCCTGGGAGGGGAGCTGCAGCTGCCTGGGGCTGTGGTGTGCAAGGCACAGCTCGCTGGCTGGGTCACTGCCTACTCCTATGTCACTGTGTAGCCCGGTCACTGCCTACCCCGGCTCCTGGGCCCTTGTATGGGGAGCACCCTCTTGGTCCGGGGGCTGTGGCCAACCCTGCACTGGGGCAGCCCTTTCCTGCTCCTCTTGCAGCCTGGTGGAGAAAGCGGGCTCCAGGAGCCCTGCCCACCCCAGGCAAGAGTGGAGGAGCTGCTGTCTGCACTGGGGGTCTCCTGAGAGGCGGAAGCCTTGGGTGGGGTCCTCCCTGCTCTCTGGCGCTGGGGGCTTCTGTTCTGGGTCCCCTCCCGGGTGTGGTCTTCCTTCCTTGGGGGCCTTCCCCATCCCAGCCACCCTGCCCTTGACTACCAAAGCAATCTCTAGGCTTGTAAAGGGGAAACCTGTATATATGGTGATTTGGGGGGTAAAAACTCTAAGATATATTTTTATGTAGGTCTGATTACGCTGTAATTAGAATTCAATATTCTGCCGTGATTTTCCAAGCTTAAACGAATTTTTACATTCTTTCCTGCGCTCTCTCCCGGGAGGGGAGGCGGGGCCGCGCATGGCCGACGGTGCCTTGAGGCACTGCCTCTGCTGTCTCCACAAGGAGTTTTCCACGGTCCCTGAGGACGGGGGCGGGACGTGGGGAAGGGGCAGACGGATGGGCTGTGCAGCCAATCAGCAGCGGGGTGAGCTCGAGGCCGCGGCGGGGCGGGTTCCGGTTCCGGCGGGCGCGGGGTTCCGGGCCGGCGCGATGCCGCTGCACAAGTACCCGGTCTGCCTGTGGTGGCGGCTGCGGCTGCGGCAGGGCATCTGCGCGCGCCTGCCCGCGCACTACCTGCGCTCGCTGGAGCAGACGCGCACGCCCGCGCCCGTGCACTACCGGCCGCACGGGGCCAAGTTCAAGATCAACCCCAAGAACGGGCAGCGGGAGCGCGTGCAGGACGTGCCCATTCCGCTCCACTTCCCCCCGGAGTCCCAGCGCGGGCTGTGGGGCGGCGAGGGCTGGATCCTGGGCTACAGATACACCAACAACGACAAGGTGGGGCGCCCGCGGGCTGCGGGAGCTGCGGGGGCGGCCTGGGGGCCGCGGTCCGGCGGGGGTACCGCTCCATCAGCGGGGCGCGCTGGCGAGCGGGGGGCCCTGAGCCCGGCGCCCCAGACCGGTTGGCACAGCGTGTGCAAAGGCTCTGGGGAGGAGGCCGCTGCGCTAAGGTGGGCCAGGACTCGCCAGAGTGCTCCTTCCTCGGGGTCAGGAAGGCTGAGACTCACTCAGGCCAGGCGGTTTGCAAGCGGCAGAGCCCAGGCTCCTGAGACTCCTCTCGGTGGGAGTCCTGGAGGGGGCTGCTGAGCCCTCTGTCGGGAGACTTGTGTGTTTGAGCCCTCCACGCCACCACCTTGGGTTCCCGGCCTCCCAGGCTAGCTTCTCCCTTTGCCTGAGGCCCTTGGTCCCTGGTTTGGGATGTAAGGGCCTGGGCCTGTACACCCTGGGGATACAGTTGTGCTTGTATCTGGAACGCAGGTCAGCAACCTGGGGGCGAGGGTGGGGGGTGCTGAGCTAGCAGGGGAGAAGCCGGCTGTGTGTAGGTGCACAGCCAGGTGGAGGGCTGGGGCCTGGTCCAGCCAGCTCTGTGCCCCGTGTCTGCTCACAGGGGTCTGTGATGGAGTCTCTTCCAGGGAAGCATGAGGCCAGCTGGGGGCCCCACCTGGTCTGTAGGGAGAAGCAGCAACACCCATGGGCTCTCTTTCTTGCACCTTCAGCTCTCGAGGAGGGTGAAGAAGATATGGAAGCCACAGCTGTTTCAGCGAGAGCTCTACAGCGAAATCTTGGACAAGAAGTTCACAGTGACCGTGACCATGCGGACCCTGGATCTCATCGATGAGGCCTATGGCTTTGACTTCTATATCCTCAAGGCAAGCGGGGTGGGGTGTGGCTGTGCACGGGGGTGTCGTGGCCAGTCAGACTCAAGGGAGGCCCAGCACAGCCCCACGCTGGGGAGCACCAGTGAAATGTGAACGGGGCCCTGCCATTCTCTGGGCAGCCCCGGTGAGCCTGCCACTGTGGGTGGCCTGCCCTGGGTCCCAGGGAGCACAGTCACTCCTACCCTGCTCGTGGCCTTGCTCCTGTCCTGATGCCCCCACACTTGGGCTGCTAGAGAAGAGCCCCTTGGTGCTGGCTGGCGGGGCAGGTGGGGCCCTGCCTTCGGCACCTGGTCCCACGCAAGCCTCTTGCCAGACCCCCAAGGAGGACCTATGCTCCAAGTTCGGGATGGACCTGAAGCGAGGGATGCTGCTGAGGCTCGCCCGGCAGGACCCCCAGCTGCACCCGGACGATCCTGAGCGCAGGGCGGCCATCTACGACAAGTACAAGGTGGGGGCCTCACCCGCACTTCCTGTCCTGCACCCCCCCAGCACCCTGCCCGGGCCAGCCCTAGGCCTCACTGTGCCTTCCGTCTCTGCCTGCCCAGGAGTTTGCCATCCCGGAGGCAGAGGCAGAGTGGGTCGGCCTGACGCTGGAGGAGGCAATAGAGAAGCAGAGGCTTCTGGAAGAGAAGGTGAGTGTGTGTGCCAGCGCTGCCTGGGGAGAGCCTGGGCGCGGCCACTGCACCGGGTGGGCTTGGGGAGGAGCTGCCAAGATGCACACGCATTCTGCCCAGCTGGGGGAGCACCGGACACTCCCTCCCCTGGAGGTCCCCACCCCCTCCTGCCCCAAGACCCTTATGGGAAGAGTGGGATCCTCGCTGCTGTGGGTTCTCATGGCCCCTTGGCATCCCCAGGGTCTTCCTTGTGGACCCCGTGGGAGCTGGCAGGGCAGGCAGTGCACCGTGGCGTGGCAGCTGGCTGCCCACTCCCTCTGCTGGGTTTATCTCTGAGCACAGAAAAGCTGGGGGCAGGCATGTGACTCTGGCCTCCCCAAGGGAGGGGGCACTCAAGTCATGGACAGGGCTCTGTCCTCCAGGTTGGGGGCCAGAGGGTGGCACGCAGCCTGTGTGACGCCGTGGCCAGGCCCGAGAGCTCAGGTCCTCTCGCAGACACCCCAGTCCCCCAGGCTCTGGGCTGCATGAGCCTCACTGCACTCCTCCCCCCTTTAGGACCCTGTCCCTCTGTTTAAGGTCTACGTGGAAGAGCTGGTCCAGCAGCTCCAGCAGCAGGCGTTGGCGGAACCCATGGTGGTGCAGAAGAGAGCCAGCGGGAAGTGACCACGTGGCCCCTCCGTGCCTTGCCACCAGACCCAGCCATCCTTGCTGGGCCCTTTGGCTTGCGGACACAGCCTGGGGTGGTCTTGTGGACCACCTGTGGGCAGCGGGTGGGTTGGCTTTGCAGAGGCCCTTCCTAGACTGGGTCACATAATCCTTACGCCTGTGGGGCCAGGACCGAGTAAAGTCTGAGCCAAGCCGTGTGTGTGTTGCTGTGCTTGGAAGACTGGAGTTCTCTGTGGGTCCTGACCACGATACCCCTGCCCCAAAGACCTGGTGTGGGCCACGAGCACTGTCTGACCCCCAGCTGAGCTGCGGAGACCAAGGTTTGACGTGGAGCTTTCCTTTTCTCTGGGAGAAGATCCATTGTAGTCAGAGGTGCCCTGGGGTGCAGCTGATGGTGCTTGACCCCTTCCCGTTGCATGTCCCTGTTTGTTCTGGAACATTCTCTAGGGCAGGGAAGGTAGGCTGTGGCCTGGTTCTTGGAGGGACCAGAAGGGTTCCTAGTGCGTGCCCTGCAGGAACCAGGAAGGGGGGACCCCCAGAGGGCCCTGCTGGTGCAGCTGCTTGAGTTAGGTACCTGTGTCAACGCCATCCTGCTGCAGTCATGCAAGAGCTGGGGGGTCTGTGACTTTGGTGCCCCCTTTTCCGTACCCTCTGCCTGTCCTGCTGGGTGGGGGTGTAGCTCCCGGTGGGAAGTGAGCCCAGTACCCTGAGGCTGTTCCTGCCCTGAAGTTTAGGGGTGCCCCAATTCTCTTCCCCTGCCCCTCCCTAAAAGTCATGAGTGTCAGGGCCCATTCAGTTTTCAGGGGGGACGAGGAGGGCTTCACGTGCAGGAGGGCAAAGTGGGCATTTGTGTCCCCAGGGCCCGAGGTGGGGACACAGCTGGTGGCAAGAGGGGGTGAATCAGAGGCACCCACCTGACCTGGGCCTGCCACAGCCCACAGGGAGGTCAGTGCGGGTGGGGCCTGCTCTTGGCTCAGCCTGGGGGAGCTCCCCCCCCAGGTCTTGGTCTGTCCGCTCCGGGTGTCTCTGCTCTCATTTCCTGGTGCTGAGCACACGCCGGTGTTCTTGAACGTGACAGCCCCGCTCTGTGAACAGTCTTTTTAAAAATTTTGCCAAGAGCAGACGATGCTCAGCTGTCCTATTTCTGGTGGTCCTGCGAGGCTTAGCCCGGCTGTCCAGGCACGAATGCTGTGGTGTTCTGGCTGAGCCCCTCCTGCCATGGGTTCCCACGTTCAGCCGTGAGCTTGATGACACGGAGCCCCGTCCAGCCCCTCAGTCTACACCTGGTCTCCGCTGGAGTGTGTGCCCAGGACACCCCTGCTGGCCACTCACCGCCTTGTGCCCACCCGCTCTCTCCCACCCAGCTGGGGCCCAGGTCCAGTGGGCTCCTGCCAGGACCACTACAGCTTCTGTGGGTGCCAAGGGGCTCGGGTCTGGCACAGAGGTGGTGTGGCCAGGTGGGCTGTGGGCCTCAGTCTCCCCATCAGCAGTGATGGGGTGAGTCTGTCCCTGCCTGTGTCCACGTGGGGTTGTGATTCTGGGCCCAAGGCCTGGGGTCCTCAGGAGGTGTCCCAGGCTGGCCAGTGGGCAGAGCAGGCCACGAGACCCTGTGCCGTCACCTCCCCCGAGGCTGTTTTATTCCTTCCCACGTGGGGAGGCCAGGCAGGAGCGAGGTGGGGCCTGGGGGTGGCCTTGGCTGAAACTCCAAACAGCCATCTTTTCTGGTAGGTGGTGACATTGCTTTCATCAAGTTATCATGGACATCCTTGACTCAGAACAGGTTGAGAAGCCCTCAGTGAGTGACAAACTCACCCCCACCCTGGGATATGACAGTGACCCAGGTCTGGGACAGGCCCCAGCAGGCTGGACCTGCCGCACACTCCCGCCTTGCGGGTCATGGGAGGGGGCACAGGAACTGTGCGCGCCTGCTCACGTGCACAGAGACGAGCTGGGGATCACAGCTCACACAGCACCCGTGGAGCCGTGGGCAGTGTGAGCCGAGGGAGCTGGCCAGGCCACGAGTCCCTGCCCTCCACGGGCCCCTGCCTCCAGGTCCTACACCTTCCAAAATCCTCATTTCCAAGGCCCCACTGACCACACCTCTCTCCAGGCTCTCCCTAAAGCGCCTGTGTCTGCCTTTGAGAGCCTCCGGGGCCCCTCACTGAGGCTTGCAGCCCCCGGGCTTCTGGCGTGGGAGCAGGCTCCACTGGCCAAGGTCACGTCTGCAGAAGGTAGAGCTGTCCCGTGCTGGCCACAGCCCGTCCCTGCACCAGCTGGCTCTGACCGGCCCCAGCCCTCAGGTGCCAAGAGCCCCCACGTGTGTCCCAGGGACTGCCAGGGCCATGTGTTTCCGTGAGGGTGGGGGATTGCACCGCTTTGGGCTGGGCAGGGTCCCTTGGAGTTGGGCCATGGAGGCCTGTGGGGGGTGGAAGGAGTGAGCCCATTGCCCCACCAACGCCAGGAAGAGGCCAGCCTGCGCCCAGTCCGCAGTTCTGCGCCCGACCCTTCACCCGAGGGTCTCAGCTGCCTCCTGAGTCCCGCTCAGCTGATGGTAGTTGCAGTGTGGTGGGAGGACGGGGTATGGAGAGCAGGCAGGTCCTGCGGGGCGGCCTGGGCACCTTTGTAACCTGCGCCCGCCAGCGTGCGAGAGCCTAGGGCTGCCACGGGAGCCCACCAGGAGCCCCGTGGCCTGCGCTTGAACTCTCCCACCCTCTCCCTCACGTGTGACACCACCATGGCTCCCTCGGGTCCCTCTCCCTCCCACACCCACCAGCCACTCCGAGCTGGAGCCCTGGCTGGACGAGCATCCCCATGGCGTGGCCCGTGCAGTCCCAGCTCCACTGCTACAGTGCGCTGGGCCCGTCCCAAGCCAGCCCTGCGCCCCAGAGCGGGGCTCCAGCCTTGGACCCTTCCCCTCAGGCCCGCCAGCTGGCCCAAGCCGACCCAGGCCAACGACCCACCCACACCCCACCCTGGACTGGCGCTGTCTGCTGCTGGCCTCCAGCACGGCAGGGCAGGCCCTTCAAGGCTGGGAGCTCTGTCCTGACAGGCAGCTCAGGGCTGGGTGGACCAGGCCAGCCGTGAAGGTGTGAAGTCTGGAGCCACCTCCAGGAGCTGGTCCAGCAGCCTCTGAGTTCTGTGGCTCTGAGACCAGGTGTAGTCCCAAGTCAGCTGCAGCCGGGCCCACCCCAAGCCCTGATCGCTAGGGCCAGCCTGGCCAGCCCTGAGCCCACGCCCTCGGATGAAGGACCCCCACGGACCCACGTTCGGGATCCCCCTGGCTCGGGAGTCCCTCCGGTGCCCTACGTCTGCCATAGCCCTGGCTTCCTGGAAGCCTGAGGCTCACATTAGCTCCTAGCCTGAAGCTGCTCACTGGATCCTGGGCCAGGAAGTGGGACTCAGTCTCCAGGCGTCTGGACTGGCCGGGTGCTGTTTCTGGCTGTCAGAGACAGGCGTGGTGGTGGCTCCAGAGGCGTTCAGCACCCTGAAGCACGGGATGGCCAGGCCAGGAGTGGTGGCACGTTACACCCATGCTCAGCAGCCCGGTCTCAGAGTCTCCGGGAGACCTGCCAAGGGGTGATGCTGGCACACCCAGGGTGGAGAGGGGTTCCCAGGGCAAGCAAGTGAGCGAGGCTGTGTGACTGAAACCCAGGGTCCTACTGGGTGAGGACCCGAGGTCCACAGGGAGCAAGGTCACCCTGCAGGCCCTGGGGGCTTCTGAGAGGGGACCCGTAAGCACATCTGTGTGTTCAATAGTCAGCGGTAATGAGAGTGTGGTGGAGTGTCTCTGGGCAGAGAGAAAGCTGGCAGGCCCTTTGCCATCAGGCCTGGGTTGCGAGGTGGCTCTGCCCACTTGGGCTGGGGGTCTCTCTGCTTTTCCTCCCACTGTCCCCAGCCATTCTTTCCTCACCAGACTGGGCCTGGCCTTCAGCCCCTGGGGCAAGCCTGACCTGAAGTCCTCCTCTCAGCAGAAGCTGCAAAGGGGCTGCAAGCTCACTGCTCCTACCTCCACCAGGGGTCAGGCAGGGCATGGAGTGGCCTGGGACAGGCCATGAGAAGGACAGGGACCCCTCACACCGCACACGAATGAAATACACGCACGCAAACACTGAATAGCTGTTGTGGGTGCAGCTGCTCTGCAGCCGTGCCCGTGCCCGACCCACCCTCCGAAGGGACCCTGGCATGGGCCCACTGGCAGTGCTGCCTGCTCCCTCAGCAGTCAGGAGTGGCTTGGGGGTGGCGGTGTCTAAAGGGGCTGGTTGCCATGGCTACCATAGGGTTCCGAGGCCCGTCATCTGGTCCCTGCCTCAGCCAATCGGCGGCGGGAGCCCGAGCTGCAGCCTAGAGTCACGCTTCTGCCTCCCAGCCACACAGTGGCCAAGAGCAGGGACCTGCTTCCTGGAGTGGCTGAAAGTGCTCGGACGGACGGCCAAGACCATCATGGCGGACGGCGGGATGGTGGGGCGCGAGCAGGCGCATGGAGCCAGGCAGGTGAGGTAAGCCGGGCGGGCGGGTGGACGGACCGGTGGACAGGTGGACGTCCTCCTGCTGCCCATTGTTCTCGTGGCTGCGGCCCTGCCTGGGCCCAGCCCACCCTCAGGCGGGAGCCCACGCATGCGGCCGCACCCTCACCCTCGGACCCTCTCCCCACGCGTCCCACGGAAGGGTCAGGGCCAGAGACAAAGGGAACGGCGCGAGGCAGGGTGCATCCCACCGCGCCACGGACCCACAGCCCGCCCTGGTGGGCCTTCCACGTCAGCTTTCACAGAGGCGGCATCAAAGACCCCCAACTGGCCTGGGCCCTTGGTGCCCCGGCCTCCGCTCCAGGGCGGGTGACAAGCCATGAAAAGTCAGCGCCGTAGAAGGAGCGTTTTTTTCGAGAAGAAAAAGAAACGATAAAGAGAAAAAAAAGTCCACCTATAACAGGGGGAGCAGCCAGCCCAGATGGATCAGAAGCGCCAAATCCCATTACCCGGGCCTTCAGGGGACAGGCCCCTGCGAGGGCAGCTGCGATTAAGGGCTTGTCAATGGAATCTCCTTTGGAGATCAAAGGGGGGCGTGCTCGTATGTGTGCGCACGCATGTGCACGTGTGTGCGTGTGCACGCGTGTGTGCAGGAGCGGGCGCCATGGGTGACAGTGGAGGGCTGGGCACTGCCGCGCGGTAGGGACCGTCCACCTGCCTGCCGTGGCCACCTC